GGCCCAGGTCTGCAGTGTGCGGCGACACACGAGTTCCAGAGACACCGCTGCCCTCGAGGCACGGAGGGAAACCCGCTGCCGCGGGACTTGGCCCTTCTGGCCGGCGCTCCCCACCTGCGTGCCGTGTGTGAGTGCATAAGCAGAGACCTGAGAGTCTGTTCACACAGGCCCATTCACAGTAGAAATACCCATTTCCTTCAGTCTTGGGCTGAAGTGAAGGCGCAGGTGTGCCAGGTGCAGGGCATGCGCAAAGAGCACCCTCGCCCATCAGGGACAGTGACGGGAGAGCACGATGCTGGGGGCCCACGTCCTCCGCACTGGAGGCTCGCTTTGCGGCACAAGCCCCGCCAGCAGCGCCAGCTGTGCGTGACCAGTGCCAGCGGGTTCCTGAGGACCTGCTCTGTACAAAGGAGACCCGACAACAAACCCAGGCCCAGCGACAGCAGCCTTTCCCAAGGACGGCCGCTCGGGCCGAGCCCCGCGGCAGGAGCCTCCCATCGTCTGTGCTGGTGGTTCTGGGGACAGTACCTTCCAGCTGTGGCTGGTCACATGGGCTCTGCAGGAGAGGCCTCTCGCTTGTCTGGTGCAGCGCCGGAGGGCGGGGAGGGCGGCACACGCCCCGTGTTTTCCGGCTTGAGGGTCTCTGTGCTGTTGCTGCCCCTGGACGTGCCGTTTGCCAACGGGCCCGTGCTTAAGAGACACACCTGTGCTGGCCTAGCCGGGGCGGAACCTGAGCCTCCAGGTGTGGGCCCCCCACCCCGCCCCGAGCTGTTCCCCAGAGGTGTGTCCCGGGGCCCCAGGGCGGGCCTTAGAGCATCAGGCAGGAGTTGTCAGGAAGTCTTACCACCCGCGGCCCGGCCCCGCCTTCTCCAGGTGCTCACTTGGAGATGGCTTTGCGGGAAGTGGGTGCTGGCTCTGGGCGCCCTGGGGGGAGGCTGCTTCCTGAGGAAGCCTGCGGATCTGTGCGTCGGTGGGGGTGCTGCCTTTGAGAGGCTTCTCCGTCTTAGCTGCCTTTCTGCAGCTGCCCTTGTGCCAACGAGACGTGACGCTGTGTTCGAGGACTGCACCTAGTCGGCTTCTCCGTGGGCCCCGCAGCAGAGCTGTAGGGCCTCTGCTAGAGTGGTTGGAACATGCGGCAGTTTTGAGCAGTCGGGCTGCTTGGTTTTTAATAGAAGAGAATTAGTTGGAGGACGTAAAGAGACCAGTTCCTTTGATCCGTTCCCAGTGAGGATTCAGCTCAAGGACAGGCGCTCCCAGAGGGCCCTGTCTCCCCCGCCCCCCACCGCCATAGGCCCGAGCCCAGGGAGGAGGGGCTGGACATGCCTTCGGCAGCCGGTCTCGTCCCTGGCCCGCCCCCTCCTCCCGGGCTCCCCCACAGAAGGGCAGGAAGCGTGGACGCCAGGGCAGGTGTGCATCCCCACTGCCCCGTCCACTCTGTACAACGTGACAGTCACTTGATCAGATGTCTGTCCTGCAAGGGCCATGCTTGGATTTCCAGGTGATTTGAAAACTGATAAAATGCGTTTTAAAGGACAGAGCATCCTTTAATTTCTTTAAATCTGTGTGCTTGTGTCTATTACCAGATCCCTGAATTCTTTACAGAATAGATGGCTCTGTTTTACGTTTGCCAGACTTCCTCCTTGGTTTAAGTCACTTGGAGAGAAAAGGAGAAAAAAGCAAAGAGCCTCCCGTAAAGACTGTATGTGCGTTTCACTGGGGAGCTCGCCTTCTCTGTCCTTTTCTCTTTTTAACCCCCGACTGCACGATGCGGGTGGACCCCCCCCAAAAAAAGGTGGCATCACCTTTCTGATGAATTTCACTTACTCTCTCATTCGTGTTCCCGGACTTGCCAACTCTGTTGAAAGACCATGGCGGTGGCCTCAGGTCCCAGCAGCCTTCTCAGTTTGGTTCTTGCCTAAACTGTGTAACCACCTCGTGGCAGATTGTAAGCGGTCATGAAACAGAAGGTTGTCGGTAAAGTCTTGGAGGAGTAGCGTACTTTGTCTTTGTTTTGCGAACTGGAAGAAGAGGGCGGTCTGCCAGCCCTTCCTGGGACGGCATCTCCAGAGCTTGCTCAGTAGCTCTGCTCTTCGCCCGGGTGGGTATGATTTTGTAGTTGGAAACATTTCACTCCCATTTCCACACTACTTCGTGCCTTTTTATTCGCCCCACAAAGACTAAACCCCATGCCTGTTCAGAAAACCCCCACAGCCCCCCATTCCGTTGTCCAGACACAGAGCAAAGTGCATTTCACTCAGTTCGTCTCACAACAGGAATGCCTCGTGAAAGCCACGACCCAGCGTGTCCTCAGTGGGGTCTGCTCTGTGCCTGGGCTGGTTTCCCGGTGTGGGTCCCCCAGTGACCTGGCAGAGCACAGCAGCCCCGCCACCTGGAGCTGGGGGGGGTGGCGGTGCGATTCCTTGTTGAGAGGAGGAGAAGCAGAGGTGTCCCCAGCTCTGTGCCAACGAGGGTTGGCAGATTAACGTGGCTTCTAGGCCAGGGGTGCTCGGCACAGATCAACAAGGTCAGGCTGTCCCCAAACAGTCGTCCCCACAGTGTGCAGGTGACCCTGCAACTGGTCCTCCGTGTTAAAGTTTCCCTTGGCCGGTGCTGCTTTCTTGGGATGGGGGCAACCAAGGTGGCACCCGCAGGATTCTGAAAATAAGAAGTCGAAACGGTCTGATCTTGAAAAAAGAACAAAGCAAAAACCCAGAAACTTAAATACTTGATGCAGGTTCAGTTAGAACAAACGTAACATGACTGTTCTTGTTTTTTAGGTGCCTAACACTTGTATTTAGAAAATACTTTTAACTGATTCTGTGCTTTAACCGACGTTTTTCTGGTTTGTTTTTTTTTGTGTGTAAATACGAGCATCAGTTGTGTATGACTTGGCTGCTTTGCAAGGCTCTGGCCACCTCTTCCTTCGGTTCTAGCTCATCAAGTCGCCGTCGTCTGTGTCCGTCGGGCAACAGCTTCCAGGCTGAGGAAGATGCTGTTGGCCGCTGACGAGTGTGGTACAAGGTCGCTGCAACTGACATGTATTTTCTCCGAATGAAGTTTTTGTAAAAAAAAAAAAATTATTTACAACGTTATTTGAATGATCTCTTGTAAATGCTGTGAATCTATATTTGTCATTTTGTATCTGTACATTAAAGTTAATTTGCCAGCCTGGCTGTAGGAGTGCATGTGTGTGTGTGTGTGTGTGTGTGTCTAACATATATACTAAGTGGGGAGGAGGTGCCTGGAGGGTTTCTGGGACCAGCAGCTCAGCCCCCGCCGGGCACGGATAGATGTCTCTGCAGCAACATGTCCTCCCTTGATGAGCTGCTCAGACCGCTGGAGGGGTGCGGGGGGCGAGAAGGCTCAGGGAAGGAGAGGCCGCTGGACCTGAAGGGAGCCCCCAGACGTTGGAACGAGGCCGGCGAAGCGCACACCGGCTGAGGAGTGGCTGCCCAGCCCCTGGGGGAGCCCTCGGGGCTGCGGCCCCTTCCTGGAGCTCAGGTCCCCACTTGGCCTGGGCGGGCGGGGAGGGGGTAAGAGTTTCCTCCGCTGATTAACAGCTCAGGAAAGTTAAGCAAATAGCCCATTGTTGCTGTGATGTCCTCAGAAAAGGGTTCCCAGAAGGCTGCCAGCTGTTAGTACTTTTTGTTGACTCTGAACATCCCTCGGCTCCTCTCCTAGGGCTGGACTGAAAGAGGGGGCTTCGCTTGGGGCCAGGGGGCCGTGGGAGCCCTGAAACCCAACACCCCTCTAAGGGCAGCTGAGGAGGGCACCCCACAGAGGGAGGGGTGGGCTGGGGGGCAGGACACTTCTCAGAGGGCTTCCAGGGAGACGCCCGCCCACCAGGCTCAGGAGATGCTCGCGTGTGTTCAGGAGGGACATGCACACAGTGTCACTAAAAGGCCAGTGTGCAGCATGGGAGCGTGGACAAGTTAGGAAGGACTCAGGGACAGGGACTTCTTGGTGAGCTGGGGCAGGGCCCCAGCAGGACCCCCAGGCGAGCCCCGCGCAGCCCCACGTGTGCTGCTGGGATCCAGGTGCGCTGGGACTCAGAGACCCCCAAGTGATGAAAGGGCCAGGCCAGGGCTCTGGGCTCCACTAGGCTGAGTCTCCAGAGGTGGGGAGCTCACTCCAGGACCAGAGAAGGGGCAGAGTTAAAGCCAGAGGCCGGGGGACACCTGGGGAGACGGAATCCAGTGAAGAGACTGGGAAAGGGGCGAGGCAGCTGTGAAGACACGGGTCCTGTGCCACCAGGGTTTTGGGGAGACGGCGGCCACCCCGTTCTGCGTCGGGGTGCTGGGTGCTGGTGCCGGTGTCAGATGCAGGGAGGAATGGCGTGGAGGGTGGGTTTGTGGCTGCCTGGTCCCCCCCCGGGTTCGGGGGGAGTGAAACCCAGTGGGAAGCTCAGGGCTGGGATGCAGCCTGGGAGAGGACTCTGCCTGCAGCTGGTTACGCCCTGGGAGGGCTGAGCGAGGGTGGGCAGCTGGGGGAGAGGAGGCCCCGGGACCCCAGCCTGGGGGGGGACAGGAACAGGAAGGGGAGAGGAGAGCTTCCTCTGGGCCCCCGGCTGCCGACATGCCCGCCCCTCAGAAAGGACGACCCGGGTGTCCGGGCGGGGTTAGGGGTCAGGAGGCGAGGCCTGCCGGTGGCCTGCGACGCTGGTGTTGGTTTGCCTGCTGTCCAGAGGGGAAAACTGAGGCACAGTGAGGGTGGCGTACCTACCCTGCACCCACCCCCCCGTGGGGCCTCTGTGGCCTGGCTCAGCCCTTGGAGCCCCCGTTCCCCCGCTGCTGTCTGCACGTTAGATACCAGCCTTTGTGGGCCCTGACGGGAAGGGGCAGGCGCGGTCACCTGGGACCGAGGAGACAGTTTCGCCGTGTTTTTCTTAGTGCGGGGCGTGTGTGTGTGTGTGTTTGTGTGTCTGGGAGGAGAACAGGCGTGTTCTCTTAGGTACATGAAGGCTGTCCCTAAGGAGCCGCAGAGGTCCAGCTAAGCGACGGCAGTTCTGAGGGTCCGGGATCCCCACGAGGCTGGGCAGCATCGTCTTCGGTTGGGTCCTGTTGGCTCATAAGTGGCCCAAGGTTGGCTCGGGGGCCACGGAGAGGAACGAAGGCACACAGCACTTTAAGGGAAGGCACCTGCAGCGGGGCCGCCGCCCTCCAGACGCCCCTGGAAGCCGGCCGGGCCCTCGCTCCATCAGAAAGGACGCTAAGAGGGAGCTCGGTGTGCGGGACCCAGTGGCGCCGCTGGAAGCCGCTCCCTGGCTCGAGGGCTGCCTCAGTGTTTCAAGTTCTTCCGAGACGTCTTGTCCCTTCCTTGTTCCCTCCCCTTCCTGCTGTTCTGCAGAAACAGCCACTTGGGAATTGCACGGCAGGAAGGCGTGATTTCATTTGGTTTGTTCCTGGCTCCTGGTTTGCGTCGCACTTGGGTGCCGGCTGCCTCCCTGGGGTTCAGGTAAGTGCATGGAGAAGCAATTTCTTTAAATTTGATTTAGGGCCTCAGAATCCTGAATCAGCTCTTATGTTAGTGGGGTGTGATAAACCTGCCTAATTATTTGCAAAGTAGGCAGATGTCTGCAGAGTTTTGGGTGGGAAAGGGGTAAGCCAGTTCCAGAATTCATTCCTCGGGAAGAGGCTAACCAGGAGACAAAAGCAGGTGTTGAAGTTCTTCTGCCAGAACTCTGCCAGCTGGCCGGAAAGAGGGAGGAAACCACAGAATGAGTCAACTTAGCAGACCTTTCTGGAGAGCTTTCTAGAGAAGCTCATGGATTATTTGGCACAAATTTTAATGTGCACATTTTTATATTTATGGCAATACTAACTTACTCAGTGTCTTTCTTTTTTACTTTTAATTTTATTTTGGTTGTGGGGAAGTGACTAGGTCAATTTATTTATTTACTTGTGTTAGCAGAGGTACTGGTGGTGGAACCCAGAACCTCGTGCCTGCTAAGCACATGCTCTGCCACTGAGATCTACCTGCTCGGTGTAGTTTGAAAACAAGGTCTTCAACGTATGTTGAAGAAGAAATACGTAATCTGTGCAAAGTCTGGAGCACGTGGACGATAATGTATTTAATGAAGGCAATTTAGAGATTTCGATTCTTGGACCGCCACATCCTGGAAGGATGCCAGGATTCACACATCCCTTGCATTTTATGCAGCCTCTAGAGGCTAGAGCTTTGGAGACCCAGTAAAAATTGCTCAGCTGGGTTCTGGCAGGTCTTTTTTAATCTTCATATTTAGGGAAGTAAGAATCTTGAAGAGCAGAAACTGAAAGTCAACCTTGGCTGCGAATTAGGGACATCGTGTCCTTGGAGGAAATTACTCAGGAGGGACAGGAGGGACACTGAGTACCTTTTTACCAAGAAAGTCGGTAGTCACGGAGAAGACGGGGGGTGGGGGGGCGCATAGGAGAAACGACCCAGAAGTAAGACGTAAACTAAGTCACAGCCTATTTTATTTGCGTCTGAAAAACAGTCATTCCAAAGCCATTCGCAGCTTGCCTCCTTGTCCCCAGACGTCTCCGTTTGTCAGTTTATGAGGTCACAGAGGCTCCCCAGGGCCCCTTGCTCCCCCCCACGAGCCCCTTATTCAGCAGAAGGACCGAGTCTGTCCTCTCTGCGTTGACACTGACTGGACGGGGCCAAGTGGTGCCCGCGGTCGGACTGTTAACGCAGCACCAAGGGGGGTTTACACCAGTGAGTCTGCCGCGACTCCGCCTGCTGGGCGAAGTGGCCGCAGACTCAGACCTTCCTCCCTTCAGAGGAGTCCCCACGCCTTGGACACAGAAGCCCTGCGTTAGGCAGGACACAGGCTTCCCTGTGTGGAAGAGACCCCGAGTAACAGGCTTGGGTAAGTTAACAGTCCGTATGTTTCTCTCTGACGTCAGGAACGGGGAAGGGCAGACCTGGGCTGTGCCGTCACTGGGGACCAGGACTTCTCTGTCCCCAGAGTGCTGCCTGCCTTCGTGGGGCCCGAGAAGACTCACTCACCAGGGAGGGCACACCCTGCCTGTTAGGTCACGGTCCGAAAGTTGCACGTGTCCCTGGCTCCAGTCTAGTGTCAGGGCCTCGTCTGCGCTGCTGGGAGCGCTGGGGAGTGAGTCTGTCGTGGGCGGCCACGGGCCAGAGAAAGTTTCCGTTACTGCTGAGGAAGGTGAGATGGGACGCTGGAGAGACTGGCAGCCCTCACCTGAAGCATCGAGAAGGGTTAATACCCAGCCCCCCCGCAGGATTTCATGTGTGTATGTATGTATTCAGCCACTCAACAACTGTTGGAGATGTGCTGAAAATAAAGTAGGAAGATGCAGCTGGAGACAGCAGCTAGCTATCACCTAGGTTGGTGTCTCACAAGTTATGGTTGTGGCTGGTCCGGGTGCGGTGCGGGGAACTGGCAGGAGGGCAGTGGTCTGGGGGAGAGGACAGGAAGGCGGGAAAGATGCGAGACGGCCGGGGGCCTAGCCCTGGTGCGTCCTGGAGGAACAGGAGCTAAACGCTGAGCCTGTGAACTGCGGTTGGACCCCAGAAACTGAGGAGCCAGCCCCAGGCTTTGTCGATTTTTGTTTTGACAAATAGCACATTAATCTAACATCTACTGTAATCCTCGTGCAAACCTCGCGCCCGTCTCCCAGGACCATTTTCTTTAGAGATGCTGCTCAGCTCCTCCCATCGCTGACTTCCAGCACAGCGTGTTCAGAGCCCGGGAAGGAATCAGGTGGAGGTCTGCTTTTATCTTAGGTCTTCTCCGGCCGGAGAGCAAACTGGAGTTGATCCCAACTTGACACCTTTCCGATCTCCTGATCTGTTTTATTACTGGGATAAGTGTATCGCACTTTGTGAGAAAATTAAGAAGGAAAAACGTGCACCCCTCCAGAGGGAGGTCTGGGCAATCTAGACTTCACCACTGGTCACTTCTGAGTTAAACACAAGAGGAAGGTGGAGATTATTTATGGAATTTGGCTCTAAGAAAACTCAGCACCGTTTCCTGAAATGGCGTAAGTTTGTGACTTCAAAAGGAAACATCTGCATTTCTTTTTTGAAAAATACTTTTACTGTCATCAAATTGGACCCTGAGGCGTGTAGAGGCTCCATAAGACGGCGCTGTAATCCTGTGGACGACAGTCTAGCTGGTTTTTTGAAATAATTACATTCGGAAGTATTTTTATAGACACTGTAAAAAAGCATTTTCAAAAAAGAAAAGCTCCCTAGCCGTAACCCCACCGTTGTGAAACCACCACGTTCCTCTGGCATGTTTGCTTCCAGTTCGTGTTACTATGCACACAGGCAGCCATGGCTTTATTGCTCTGCATAGAGAGCACATTTTTTTCACGAATTACAGGTTTGTGGCCACCCTGCATCGAACATTGTCTCACGTCATGTCTCTGTGTCTCATTTCTGTAATTCTAGTAATATTTCAAGCATTGTCATTGCTAGGACTTTTGCAACGGTGACCTGTGAGCAGTGACCTTTGATGTTACTCCTGCGACCCGCTGAAGGCTCAGATGGTGGTTAGCGGGTTCTAGCAATAAAATTTTTAAGTTAATGTATGAACATTGCTTTTGAACATGATGCTAGCGCTCATGAACAGACTATAGTGTAGTGTGAACACAGCTTCTCTGCGCACAGGAAGCCAAGAAGTCTGTGTGGCTCCATCTTTTGTGGGATTCTCTGCAGTGGTCTGGAATCGACCTTTCTGCTTTCTGCCTCTGAACTTTACCATCTGAACCTCATATAAGCGAAATTATACACCATTTGTCCTGTTGTGACTGGCGTAGCTCACTAAGTTTCGTCCACGTTGCAGCAGGTGTCTGAATTTCCTTCTCTTTTAAGGCTGAATCTTACCCGTTGTGTGGATGGACCACATTTGTTCACCCACTCGTGTCAGTGGACACGTGGGCGCTCTCCGCCTTTTGGCGACTGTGGGCCATGCTGCCGTGGACGTGGTGTAGAAACACCTGCAGGAATCCCTGCTCTCAGTTCTTCCGCGTGTATACTCAGCAGTGGGGTTGCTGGATCAAACGCTAATTCTACGTTTGCCTTACTATTTAAAACGTGTTCATGCACGCTGTAATCCAATTTGGTTTTTATAGCAGCCCCGTGAGGTAAGCATTCATCTCTTCTCTGGCTCCAAAAAGTGGTCTGCCCAAAGTGACAAGGTCAGTTGAAGGAGATTTGCCCAAATTGACATGGTCAGTGGGGGTTTCCTGACTTGGAAGTGAGCTCTCTCCTCGACTACTGACTCACCATCAAGAGTCGCCCCAGTCACAAGAGTCCTTCCAAGGACAACGTCCTTCGATTATAAGCAGCTGGGTCTTACCAGCTCCCACCCTGACTCACCCTGACCCTTCTGTCCAGGTCCAGCCAGGGTGGGGGGGGTCCAGGTTCCTCCACAGAGAGCAGAAGCTGTGTCCGAGGTCCTGGCGATGAAAGTTTCTCCCTGTGTCTGTGTTTCCCTCTTTCAGTTCCACTCTATTGTCTGAACTATGAGGATCTGGTGCCTCCTGCTTGTCTCCGGAGTCTGGGCAGGGATTGGGAACTCACAGGACACCTGCCGGCAGGGCCACCCTGGCGTCCCAGGGAACCCTGGTCACAATGGATTGCCTGGAAGGGATGGACGAGATGGAGCGAAGGGTGACAAGGGGGATTCAGGTACCCATGACCTGCACCTACACCTGCCCTTGGTTCATCCTCCTTCCTTTTACCTCATTCATTCATTCCTTCATCCACCCATCGCCTGTGTGCTCAGTGCCTGTCTGCTTACCTCTCTCCCTCCCTCCCTCCCTCCATTGCCCAGAAAACACTACAGAGAGCCTGCTCCAGCCAGATGCAGGCTGGGCGTGGGGTCCAGTGCAGCATGAGCCATCAGGAACCCCATCCCCATGGGCTTTGCCATTCAGTGGGGCTACCTGTTTGCCCAGCATCATTTCCAATATTACTGGGTTGTTTTCAGGAGCATGTGATGTCATAGATCTTTCTGCCTCAGGCATCAGGTATGAGGGACCTTTGGCACTGAGGTCTGGAAAGACGTCCGATGGCTGGGTCTTTGGCAGTGGCAGAGCGCCCCCAGAGCGATGAGGTCTCGCCATGAGGCAGGTGGCATGGAAATCAAGAGACTGAGAGGTGACCTGGAGCCACACAGCCACTACTCAGGTGCCTGAGTTACGTGCCAGGACCCGCCCCGGGGTCTGGGGACTCGGGGACTGAATCCATTGCTGGGAAGGACAGTTGCAAAAGCCAGGATGTGGGAGTGGTTTCCATAATAACAACTGGCAGCTTAGTTTTGAATGGGGTTCCTGAGCCCTGGTCTGACCATAGGGTCACACACCCAAGAATAAACAATGACCTCTCTGGGTGCAGGAAGCAAATCTCAAAACTTCTATAGACATTTTTAAAAGATAAATTTTAAAAGAGGAACAAAATTGAGCTTTGAAGATGTTTACTGTGCGAATTGGTGTGAATGGCTTCATTGGGTCCACCGTTAGACGGACACATGTGCCGTGGAGGAGTGGCAGCCTGCAGTGCGAGCAGGCTGGCCGGAACCCCACCACGTTCGCTGACCTTCAGGTATAGTGGTGTTTTGCAGAAAGTGTGCCTGGACCAGGGGGTTTTCAGATTTGCTGTTGAACTATCACAGATGGGTGCCTAAAATCCTGCAAAAACCTGAGAGCTGCGGGCAGATTGGACGCCAGCAGTAAAGAACCATATAGGAGCAGAACGTGCGTTAGGAGGGAAAACAAGGATGAAGGACAGACTCTCAAGGTGTTCCTGCCCAACCTAGAAATTACTACAGCTGTGGGCAGGCGGATTTGCACTTGTATTCACTGAAACGCCCTCGTCCTGACTGCCGATGCGCCGTGGGGGTCGGGGCTCACAGAAGCACCACAGTTGGGCGTTTCAGGGCTCGTGCGGAGCCTGAACACAGTGTCATTTTCTTCTCGGCAACAGTCACGCTGTACAAAAGCTTCACCAAATCTGATGATAAATACTCAGAAGCCTCTTTTGATAGTCCTTGGGTCTTCTGGAGGGGTATTAGGTTTATTTACTTATTTATGTTAGAGGACGTGCTGGGGATTCAACCCAGGACCTCATACATGCTAAGCACACGCTCTCCCACTGAGCTGTACCCTCCCCCCCATTTGGGGGGATTTTAATTAAAAAAATTATTAAATATTTTATACACACAAAAGATGATAGGTAAATGGATAGAGAGAGAAATAAAGAAGACAAATGCTCATATATCCAACACCAAATTTCTCTACCTCTCCCCTACTGAGTCTGCCCTGCTCCTCCGTAGTGGCCACTCGCTCGAGTTGTATGAATTTTCTTGGAGCACATATGTTATCTATATGTTACACACAACATACATGTTTCTTAGAAAGATATTCAATTGCATTTCCCACGCTCAAAATTAACTTCTTTGTTTTCAGATGTTTTGTGTGCATGGTTTATGATGAACATGTGTTTAGAACAGTGCCTGTAGGTGACTTACACGTTCTAATTAGGGGACACGTTCACTCTTTGTCCCTGGAAGTGCATAATCAGGAGAGTCTGGAGGCCACGTTCAGAGGAGGGCAGAGCTGGGAGAATTAAGCAGGGAAACTGAAAGAAGGAAGGAGAGGGAGACACATCCTTCGGGAGCAGTGGTGGCTGGAGCGAGAGGGAGCACGAGGGGTCAGCGACCCCAGGGCCCCGGGGCCTCGGGCTCCCGCCCCACCTGCAGTCAGCACTGTGTCAAGACCTGGAAAGGGCCGCGTCCCCCCCATCCCTGGCAGCCGCCCGTCGGCGGGGCTGACGTTCACGGCCTGCTGTTTGGTGGACACCAGGGCCCAGGTGAACTGTGGCCTCCTGAGCTCTGTCACCTCGCCTGGAGCCATTTCTGTCCTGAGGACATAACACGGGAAGCTGGTGCCCAGGGCAGCCCGTTCTGAGCATCAGGACCCCTGTGTAGTCAGCAAAACTTCACAGCCTGGTGTCCAGTGGGTCACAGACACCTTGACCACCGCTCTCGGGAGCCAGAGAGATCCTTCTGGAACCCACCCTTCCATCCCAAATAGCGTCGTGTAACCAAGGTCATGTGCACATTCACTGGAGGCCAGTAGGCCTCCCACTCCGCTCCCCACAGAGTGGCAGAAAGGAGAGGTGAGGAAGCTGCCCCACGTCCCCATGCTCAGTCACTCCCGAGCCCCCATCACACAAGAACCACGCAGTCGTGACGATGCGCACACCCTCTTCTCGGCCTGCCTTCCTGGAGCTGGGTGCTTGGAGCGCCCACCGGCCCGCTTTACAACCCGCTTCTCTGCACTCTCAGCGCCTGCTGCCCACCCCCGCCTGCCCCACCGTCCCACCCGCCCCACCGCCACCACTTGCCCCACCTGCCC